CAAAAATATAACTGGAAAAGAAACTCCGTCAGAGATGGCATAAACGTGATATAATTCACATCCACCAAGAAGCTATAGAAATAAAATCACTATTTCTATAGCTTCTTTTCAGTTTCTACTATATAATTCACATCCATCAAGAAGCTATAGAAATAAAATCACTACATCAGATCATGGCATAAACGTGGCTGCAATTTTTTTTTTACATAAACGTGGCTACAACAGTTAGTACTACTACTATTACAATTTTGTTAGCTGATGAAAAGAGAATCCGCAGCGCTACAGTACATAGTCTTAGATGTTGACGAAGGGAGCGCCGGTAATGAACTCGGTGGCGGCGAGCGCGACGAGGCCGAGCATAGCGAAGCGGCCGTTCCAGAGCTCTGCGTCGGCGCTCCAGATTCCGCTCGACTTGCTCTCGACAGTCTGGCCCTGCAGTAGCGGCACCAACGATGCCGCGGAGAACACCCCCGCGGTCACCAGGAACCAGCCCAGCCCGGCGCCGCTGCCGGCCTGGTCGAGGAGCCCGCCGCCGCGTGCCGCCTCGACGGAGAGCGCCGCCACGAAGCCCACCATGGCCAGCCGGCCATTGATGCGCTCCGGCGCCGGGCCGCTGAAGGCGAGCGCGTCCCAGACCGAGGGGTTAGCCTTCTTGGTCATGGGCTTGGGTGCCGCCGGGATCGGGGTCGGGGTCGAGCTCGTGCTCGGGGAGGAGGAGGTCGATGCGCTCGTCGTCTCCTTGGTTGAGTCCATGCCAGGCTGCACATACACAAACAATCTCACGTCGAGGTCGAGTCTCCAACTAGCCAACATGCGATGCAGTCAAGTGTGTGACGTGAAAGCTCACCTCGGACTGGGCCCTGACGACGAGGGTCCTCCGGCGCGGGCCCGCCACTGGAGAGCGGGCGGCGGACCGGCCGACGACGGCGAAGGAACTCAAAGCCACCATGGTCGCCATTACTCAAGGCACGAAGAGAACTGAGAAGTTAGTGCTGGCTTAATGGATGGACCATGTCACTTGGCTGGTGTTGTTTTGCTGTGTCTCTGTGAGCGAGTAGCTGATGCACTTTATAGCGGCCGTGGGGAGGTCGCCGGTGGACGCGGCCATGGCCACGTGAACGAGGTCCAAAGGGCTGTACGTGGGGGGAGGGAGGCGGCGGGCTCACATGCATCGACGTGGACCCTGAGGGTGCCATAACTCGCTCTCGCCAAAAAGTGAACGCAGCATGTACGCGCGGGTACCCCTATTTCACGCCTTTGGTCAGACATTAATATTTCTATATACATGATTAAATTTTTTTCATCATTTTTTATTACATGATCAACATTTTCTCTATACACATTTTAGTTCTGACTCGCTGAAGGGGGCCAGCAAGATGGACCAGCCCACGCGCGCGGGAGGCCACAGCCTCTTTTCTAATAATATATTTTTTATGTTTTATGTTTCTTTTTTGCTTTTGTTTATACTTTAAAAATTATATATATATATATATATTATTAAAAACCCTATACAATGTTTTTTGGAAAATGTTGAACAATTATTTCAAAAATGTTAATCTAGCATTCAGAAAGTGTTGAACAAGTATTTAAAAACTGTTGAACAAATATTTGAAAAAATGTTGATCAAGCATTTAGAAAAATACTTTACATGTATTTGAAAATGTTAATCAAGCATTTAGAAAATGTTGAACATGTTTATAAATATTATTGATCGAGTATTAAAAAATGATGAAATTTTTTATCATGTATTTAAAATTTTTAATCAAGAATTTGAATAAAAATGTTGAACAAATATTTGAAAAATGCTAATCAAGCATTTGGGAAATGTTAAATGTGTATATAAAAATGTTGATCATGTATTAAAAAAATGATGAAAAAAATTATTCATGTATGTAAAAATGTTAATTAAGCATTTGAAGGAATGTTGAACAAGTGTTTGAATAATGTTAATCAAGCATTTGGAAAATTTTACATGTGTATAGAAAAAATGTTGACCATGTATTAAAAAAATGTAATCTTTTTATTTCAAAACTATTAATTAAGCCTTTTTTAGAATGTATATAAAAAATGTTGACCATGTACAATTTTTTTAATCTTGTATATGGAAAATATTAATAAATAATTTAAAAACACCTATATTAAAAATGCTAAATTTAGAAAAACCTTCAACAAATATTAGAAAAATATTGTCAATATATACAAAAAATGGAGAATAAAAACCAAGAGAAATAAAAGGAACTAAAATAATAAAAAACTGAAAAGGATAACAAAATAAACCAAAGGAAAAAGAAAACAAAAAATAAAACCGAAGGAACAAATGCAAAAAGAATGGAAAACGGGAGAAGAAAAAGGAAAAAAAGCAAAAGAAAACAAAAATAAAAAATGTGGAAAATCGGCTCTTCGAAAAAAGTTTGTCTAGGAATTTTTGTACGTGGGCTGCACATAGGGTCCACCGCATGGGCTGGGCATCCTCCGTATTTGTTTCCGCCGACAAGGAGCAACGAAAAGTATATGCACGTAAGTGAATCCCACCTCGCTCTTTTATTGTAAATTCTATCACTTTTTATATGCCCGCGAGTTGACTCAGAGCAGTAGAGAGCGACAAAGATCTCAAGAAGAGAAAAGGGGCGCGAGCTCTAGCAGCTGACCATCACGCCGAGTGGCTAGCGAGGGGAGGTCTCCGGAACAGAGGAGGTGCTTCTGCAACAACTCATGTATTCTTCTCTCTAATCTCCCGCTGTTGCTCCTCACGCCCTCCTCTCTAGAAAGTGGAATCTCCCTTTGCTCAGTTTCGTACTTGTGAATAAAATGACATGTTTTGTGTGTTAAAAAAAAGCAATGTATATGTTAAGAAAGAGAAATATGGGATTTATGAGCATGCCAAGTTCTGCAGCTATATTGGACCTATCAGGATGCACACATGTGGGCGAGGGGTTGCCCCTGTTTGAATTTCGCATGGCAAGTTCAGCGGCTATATGGGATTTGTTCATGACCATCAACATGGATGTTCAGGTACGGATTTCTTCAGGACGATCAACATGTTGGGGATCGTAGCAGAAATTAAAAAAATTTCTACGCATCACCAAGATCAATCTATGGAGTATTCTAGCAACGAGGGGAATAAGAGTGCATCTACATACCCTTGTAGATCGCGAGCGGAAGCGTTCAAGTGAACGGGGATGATGGAGTCGTACCGTGATCCAAATCACCGATGACCAAGTGCTGAACGGACAGCACCTCCGCGTTCAACACACATACGGTTGGGAAGACGTCTCCGCGTTCAACACACGTACGGTTGGGAAGACGTCTCCTCCTTCTTGATCCAGCAAGGGGGAAGGAGAGGTGGTGCGGCTGCCCTCCCTCCCTTCCACTATATATAGGGGCTAGGGGGGCGCATGCCCCCTTGGAGATCCCATCTAAAGGGGGGGGGGCCCTGGGGGCAACGGCCCCCTTAGGGTTTCCAACCAGGGGGGCGCATGCAACGCCCCTCTAGGGTAAACCCTAGGCGCCTTGGGCCCTTGGGTGGGGCGCACCAGCCCATCAGGGACTGGTTTCCACGCCACTTCAGCCCATGGGGCCCTCCGAAATAGGTGGCCCCATCCGGTGGACCCCCAGGACCCTTTCGGTGGTCCCGGTACAATACCGGTAACCCCCGAAACCTTCCCGCTGGCCGAAACTGGACTTTCTATATATAAATCTTTACCTCCGGACCATTCCGGAACTCCTCGTGACGTCCGGGATCTCATCCGGGACTCCGAACAACTTTCGGGTTACTGCATACTAATATCTCTACAACCCTAGCGTCACCGAACCTTAAGTGTGTAGACCCTACGGGTTCGGGAGACACGCAGACATGACCGAGACGCCTCTCCGGTCAATAACCAACAACGGGATCTGGATACCCATGTTGGCTCCCACATGCTCCTCGATGATCTCATCGGATGAACCACGATGTCGAGGACTTAATCAATCCCATATTCAATTCCCTTTGTCAATCAGTACGTTACTTGCCCGAGACTCGATCGTCGATATCCCAATACCTTGTTCAATATCGTTACCGGCAAGTCACTTTACTCGTACCGTAATGCATGATCCCGTGACCAACCCTTTGGTCACATTGAGCTCATTATGATGATGCATTACCGAGTGGGCCTAGAGATACCTCTCCGTCATACGGAGTGACAAATCCCAGTCTCGATTCGTGCCAACCCAACAGACACTTTTGGAGATACCTGTAATGTACCTTTATAGTCACCCAGTTACGTTGTGACGTTTGGCACACCCAAGGTACTCCTACGGTATCCGGGAGTTGCACAATCTCATGGTCTAAGGAAATGATACTTGACATTCAGAAAAGCTACAGCAAATGAACTACACGATCTTTGAGCTAAGCTTAGGATTGGGTCTTGTCCATCACATCATTCTCCTAATGATGTGATCCTGTTATCAATGACATCTAATGTCCATAGTCAGGAAACCATGACTATCTTTTGATCAACGAGCTAGTCAACTAGAGGCTCACTAGGGACGTGTTGTGGTCTATGTATTCACACATGTATTACGATTTCCCGGATAACACAATTATAGCATGAACAATAGACAATTATCATGAACAAGGAAATAATAATAACCATTTTATTATTGCCTCTAGGGCATATTTCCAACAGTCTCCCACTTGCACTAGAGTCAATATTCTAGTTACATTGTGATGAATCGAACACCCATGCAGTTCTGGTGTTGATCATGTTTTGCTCTAGGGAGAGGTTTAGTCAACGGATCTGCTACATTCAGGTCCGTATGTACTTTACAAATTTCTATGTCTCCATTTTGAACACTTTCACGAATGGAGTTGAAGCGACGCTTGATATGCCTGGTCTTCCTGTGAAACCTGGGCTCCTTGGCAAGGGCAATAGCTCCAGTGTTGTCACAGAAGAGAGTCATCAGCCCCGACGCATTGGGTATGACTCCTAGGTCGGTGATGAACTCCTTCACCCAGATTGCTTCTTGTGCTGCCTCCGAGGCTGCCATGTATTCTGCTTCACATGTAGATCCCGCCACGACGCTTTGCTTGCAACTGCACCAGCTTACTGCCCCACCATTTAAAATATACACGTATCCGGTTTGTGACTTAGAGTCATCCAGATCTGTGTCGAAGCTAGCGTCGACGCAACCCTTTACGACGAGCTCTTCACCACCTCCTTAAACGAGAAACATATCCTTGGTCCTTTTCAGGTACTTCAGGATGTTTTTGACTGCTGTCTAGTGTTCCTTGCCGGGATTACTTTGGTACCTACCTACCAAACGTACGGCAAGGTTTACATCAGGTCTGGTACACAACATGGCATACATAATAGACCCTATGGCTGAGGCATAGGGGATGACACTCATCTCTTCTATATCTTCTGCCGTGGTCGGGCATTGAGCCGTGCTCAATCGCACACCTTGCAATACAGGCAAGGACCCCTTCTTGGACTGATCCATATTGAACTTCTTCAATATCTTGTCAAGGTACGTACTTTGTGAAAGACCGACGAGGCGTCTCGATCTATCTCTATAGATCTTGATGCCTAATATATAAGTAGCTTCTCCAAGGTCCTTCATTGAAAAACACTTGTTCAAATAGGCCTTTATGCTTTCGAAGAATTCTATACCATTTCCCATCAACAGTATGTCATCCACATATAATATGAGAAATGCTATAGAGCTCCCACTCACTTTCTTGTAAACGCAGGCTTTTCCATAAGTCTGCATAAACCCAAACGCTTTGATCATCTCATCAAAGCGAATGTTCCAACTCCGAGATGCTTGCACCAGCCCATAGATTGAGCGTTGGAGCTTGCACACCTTGTTAGCATTCTTAGGATCGACAAAACATTCCGGCTGCATCATATACAATTCTTCCTTAAGAAAGCCGTTAAGGAATGCCGTTTTGACGTCCATTTGCCATATCTCATAATCATAGAATGCGACAATTGCTAACAT